GCCAAGGAGTTTAGAACTAATGGAGCCTCCTCTCTCTCTTCGCGGCGCCGCGAGCAGTACGCCGCGGTGGGGGATCAAATATGGCCGCCGAGTGTGGGCTAAATCTCGAACTGTGGCGTTTCTTTTTATAGAATCTTATCGGCTGGGCCACGTTGTGGGGGTGGGCGGGGTGGGGGAATGCACGCAAGGAAGAGGGGATGGGGCAGGGATGAAAGAGGAGGGGCGGGCCTTGGGAAGGGACGAAGGAGAATGGGAAAAATTAAATAAAAGAGAGAGAGAGAGAAAGAAAAAGAGAGAGAGAGAGACAGACAGACAGACAGAGAGAGAAGAGAGAGAGAGCGAGAGAGAGAGAGAGAGAGAGAGAGAGAGAGAGAGAGAGAGAGAGAGAGAGAGAGAGAGAGAGAGAGAGATTGTGATCAACTGACGGGCTGACGGATTATGACAGGGAGAAAAAAAATTCTGTGTGTGGTACGGACTGTTCAATTCTTTCAGAGTTTTATGTTATAATCTAGTTTAAAAATCAAAACGATGTGTAAAATAAGAAGTAAACTTGTCCAAGTAACATAAAATTATCAAACATACCAAATTATAAAGATAATCTTTCAAGATGCTAAAATATGTAATTATTTGAAATGGATAAAAATATACTTTAAAACTGAATTTAAGTTATTATGATTGCATGATTCTAGGCGTGTGCCATAACTAGCTTAATGTATAAGGAATAGCGAACACAACAGAGGGTCGATGCCAGCTTTATCTGATTGCTAACAGTATGTCTTGGTCTATAAATAATAATATTATTGAATACAATAATTTTGTTTCCTGGTTTTCACAAAGTGGAGCGCACAGTGATTTCAAATATTAAAAAAAAAGAGATAACAGCACCTTTGGAGGTGTGATCGCATGCATGAGCGTAGATGACCTTTGAAGGTTTTTGGGGTTTTTGTTCAGTAAAGTATAATATGGAGAGCAGCGTTTTTAGTCCCTTATTACACTTGGGGGGGGGGGGGGGGGTAATTTATCTTAGTGATGACTCTTGTGTATTAAAATTTGTTGCTGCTTTGTTTATTTTATTTTTTAACAGCAGAATCTTAACTGAACCGGAATTATTGATTGTGGGATCTTATGTGAAGACCACAACAAGAGAATTAAACCGAGTATAGTTCTATCTAACAAGACTCAAACTCTTATCCACCCCACCCTACCCTCTCCCCTCATCTAATATGGTTTGGTGTTTCTTTAACATAGAAAATATTCATCATTATTGTTGTTGAGTATTGATTTCCTATTCTAATGGAGCCTCTAGATATCTACATTTTGACAACAGTAGCATCTAATTTGCACACACAATGGAAAGCAATATAAATGTATAATATGTATATACATACACACACATAATAATTATATATAAACACATAATAATTTTATATATATATATATATAAGAATACTTTTAAAAATTGAGTATCTCGGTCTTTCTGCTGGGGTGTTGTATCTCTTTCAGCCTGGGTTGGCCTTGGCAGGTAGCACCAGAGCCAGCCTCTTATGAATGTTAATGATCTAAATTGTGTTGCTGGGGGCATAAAAACACTTTCATTCAATTTTTTAAAAAGGAAAACAACTTAACTGTGAAAACTTCGGTCCACTGCAGCATCATATCGGTTCTTACACTTAAATACAACACAGATGCAAGGCATTTTTACTAATTGACTTGCCTAATCTCAAGGACCTCGGAATAAAACCTTCTTTCTTATCTACATTTCAGTAAGTCGGGCATTCGCTCATCGCAGGTAGACCACAGTTCCGCCGCGAGAGAGGGCTCCTATCAGGCGTGCAGCGCCGCCCACAGAGCACCCTCCATTACTTTTAATCTCCTTGAAATATACAGTCAAACCTGTGTAAGACGGGCATCCATTGTCAAGGAGAAAAGTGGCCGTATAAGACAGGTTGCCGTCTTAGGCAGGGCTAATCAAGATTACGAAAACAAACCCCATTCCCATCTGAGGTTCCAATCGAAAGTAGCCGCTTTGTTTTTGTTTTTGTTGTTGTTGGTTTGTATTTTGTTTGTAATTTTCATTTTGTTGCTGATTTTGCGCAAGGGTGACAATAAAACGAAATGTATCAGACGAGGAAGACCGAGTGTCTTGTTAGAACAAACACATGGGTCCCCACCACCCGAGGAACGAGTGACGCTTCTGTCGCAAGTTCAAGTAAACGTCCTTTGTTACTTTGTTACAGACTGGGTAAACAGTGACCACTCATCTCACTTACGATTTGTGTATGAGTTCTGGGCGGGGGCTTATGGGTTATGAGGGATCACACGCTTACCTCATCAGCAGCTGAAAATTGGTACCTATTTGTCAACAGTGGGAGGGCCTACACAACATGATCGGTTGGAGGGACTACCTAACAACTACGAGAGGGTATTGAATTATGACGGCTCGCCCACCACGCCAGGGGCCAATGCACAATATATGACAAAACGTAATGGAGTCACTAAGGAGGCCGTCTAAGACAGGTGCTATTGCTTAGTGTAAAAGGGGTTGTGTGTTAAAATATGGTGGCC